CATTTTCTATACTTACTATCTAATATTATATTATTTTCATTTAATATTATATAATTTATTTTATTATATTTTAATTATTATAAGCTTACATCTTATTAATATAATTTTAAATTTATATTAACTTTTAAATTTAATTTGATTTATTCATACATATTGTCCATATATATTAAGCGTTTTAATTTTAACATACAACTTGCATAATACAAGTTTGAGGTCCCAAGTTCAAACTCCAGTGTTGCATAATTTTTTTACGCCACATCACCAGACGTCACCATAATTTGCCATGTCATCATCCACATCAACAGAATTCACCATGTCATCAGCCACCTTTGTAGACAAAGCCCGAAATTCGGCTCGGTGATTCGAATTGCCAAAATAGACAAGGTTATGTTATATTTGCTAAATTTCAAAAGTTTGGTTAAAACAACAAAAAGTTGTAAAGTCATGATTTTATCGGCAATTAGGCGTTTAATAATACCATAGAAGATATGCTTAATGGCAAGAAAAAAAATATAACAACTATTTAGTGTTTTTTTTTTCGAAACATAGAATTTATAGATAGAAATTCATGAGTTGAGAGAGCGCTCAATCAAAATTCCTTACTATCAAGGTTTGAAACTTATAATTGCAATATTATTATATATAATTTTATAATACGACTTTCTATTTTTTTATGTACATTAAATTAAATCTATAATTATTAGAAAATATATAGTCCCCCTCAAAATAAATTTTTAGATCCGCCCCTGACAATCATATCTCCCAAAATACAAAAGGTGTTAAAAGATTCATAACTACAATTCATATGAAGAGTGCAATAGCAAGAAACCCGATCTTGAAGGTTAAAATAGCTCATGAACGGAGGGACAGAAACTAACGAAAATACACGTTTAACATGACGAAACTTCAACAATTCAAATCCCGACAAGGGCAACTTACACCAAACTTCTAAATATGATTTTGACATCTTAAAACATGTTCAATATCACATAATTCCCAACACTTAATCTCAATCACATAACATGAGCATAGATCATAAAAACATGCATACATCATTGGATCTCCTTCTCTTATCAATTGATCTCATCGTCATGCTCTTAATCTAAAATTCTCGACTCATCTTATATCTTAGGCAAACATAATTATATAATTATTCTAGAACACTTTAAAAATCATCTTGAAAAACAATCGATCCAAGATTGAACTGAGATCTATTTTCGCTTGAATTCTCTTTAATCTCTTTAATTTTTATTAATCTTATTTATTCTTTATTATTAGGAACTCATAATCTCGCCCCATAAATAGGAATAGGGTTGGTTTACCGTGCTCGAGAAAAGAAGAAAAAATCAGCTCGAAGGGTGTGGCCTCAGCTCTCGGGCTTCTGCTCGCGTGGGGGTGCTTGTGGCTCAGTAGTGCGACGTGGCCTCGGGGCGTGGT